TCTTTGGGAAGCATTTAACGTCAAGTAAGGTGAGGCGTTCCAATCGCACCACCGACCATGCCAACAACAGGCGAGAAAAATGTCAATTACATATCCATTTCGCCGCACAGGTACGCCAGGAAATGTGCTTATTATCTACCTGGTGGCACTTCTAGGACTAAGAGACGGCTTGTTCGGAACGTCCATTTCTCTTGGGGGGGGGGGGGGAACAATGTGAAGGAAAGTTTCATTTTTGAGAACAAGTCAGCTCCGCTCATAACTGCCATACCCGATTAGGGCGGCGACGTCTGACTTCCTCAAAAGCAGTTCGCGCCGCGTTGGTGCGCGTGGTATCGACCATTTGCTGTGTTGAGCTCGCAAGTTTTGACAAGCAAACCGAGTGGGCAGTATTTCATATGCATCTTATCGACATGATGTAATTATTAGTGCTATGGGCAAGTGTGCCGACCAATGATGGAGCAAGAAATTTGCGGAGGAGAGGGTCAAACGTGTCATATGGATCCCTTTTCTTGCATAGCGGTGCTGTGCTTGGATTTGGGAAGCCTTTTTTTGTGTCTGGATTCTATTTGTATGCACGGCGAGCCGTTTTTTGTGTGTTTTAGGACCTTTGTCGCAGAGGACCCGCAACCTCCAAGGACCAAAGGCCGAAAAGCCACCATTTGGCCCCGCCACTGCCAGTGGCGTACGCAGAATTTCGCCCATGGGAGGTCAGATCGGATCACATGAAGCCCTTTCAGCCAAGGGTGCCAACTCGTCGTCGGTAAGTTCATGGGCTTTGTTGTTTCCATTCGGGGGCCCCTTTTAATCTTGGGATCCTATTGCAATGCATCGCCACCATGCTTTTACGTCTGAAATACTCTAAAACATTTAAATTTCCAAAAAGCACTGAGTTCTTTGGCACCACTGGGTCCTGCTACCTGCGAGAGGGGTCAGAATTCCAAGAGCTCTTCCCTCTTGGCTACGCCACTATCCCTTCCGACGTTGAAGAGCGTTTTCAAGGAGTGTTACCCGGGTCACTTGCCCCCCCCCCCCTCCGCTCTCCCTTATGCATGGATCACTTGCCCCCGCCCTCCGTCCCCCGTGTTAGATGTATAAACGATGTATGGCAAAGAGAGTGAATCGCCGATCGCACCCATCAAGCAAATACGCGATTTGCTAGCCACCCAGAAAGGAGTGCCAGAAACTCAGGAGTACAAGAAACAACGTTTGTGTTCCTAACGGTTAGCTCCGTAGCCGTTAGCCCCTTAGTGCACGCCAGATGCCCAGCAGCGCTGATCAAAAACATGCTTGTACACCTTGCTCGTCTGTCTTATTGATATGTACCCGCCCACTTTTACAGCTCGGACCGCCCGCGCTCTCACCGCTCATTCACAGTCCGGCTGAAAGGCATCACGCTGCATGCTAAAAACGCAAATGCAAATCGATACAGCTGTAGTCAGGCATGGGGACGAAGCCAGCCTTCTGGCTTCAAAACCGAGTCCAAAGTCAGGCCAACGATAGGAAGCCAAAATCCAAGCCGAAGTTGAAGGCTTTGGAGTTTGAAGCTGAGGGGCCGAAGCTGACCCCACTGGCATCGTGTTTTTTAAGAAAGCCGAATCCGAAGTCACAAGCTTTGAAGTTTGTACGCGCGAAGACGAAATCAAAGTCGGTCGCTTCGAGCTTTGAAAGCGCGGAGCCAAAGCTGAGCACCAACCAAAACCAAAACGAAACCAAAACCAAAGCGAAAGACCAAAACCAAACCAAACCCATCCTCGCGCACGCTAAAACTCTATGCGGTCAGAAAATATTATCAGCGTTTTGTGTCATTGGGGCTTGGCAATGCACTGACCTGCTGAGACTGCGTGCCGTTGCCTACCTCTCACCCTGGCAGGAAAGGGCGGGTACCGCTGGGATTCGAACCCCGTACCTCTGGTTTCAGAAGGCCCGACGGTTAACGCAGACGCTTTAACCACCTCACTACCGGCACCCTATCAGTGTTCTCCAGGGCAATTGAGAAGGAGCACATAAGATGTATGAGCTGGTGCACGACGTGCATTGCATTACGAGTGCAACATTTTGTTCTCGGATTATCGACCTCGCTTTTTGTGTTAGTTTGTACACAGAGCTTTGGACAGTTAGTTCCTCGGCCATCGGCAGGTGTTGCTGGTCCTGAGAATGGCTGGGTGGTTTATGGCTTTCAGCAAAGCATGCGTCGCGGCGTTGAAAGTTCTGCAGTGTATTGGGGTGACAGGATGGTAAAGACCTGCTTATGAAGTAAAATCAAGACTCGGGTAAAAAATGGTGCCAAAATCGAAGCGCATCTTCCAAGATCGTACGAAGCCGAAGCCGAGGCCATAATTCAAAATTTGCTTGAAACCGAAGCCGAAGCCCACTGGGCGTTATATAGCCAAAATATACGCAGCCGAAGCGCCCGAAAGTTCAGATAACTAACGGAAGCCGAAGCCGAAGCCAGCTGATAAAAATGGCACAAACTTTTGGGTTTGTGCCATTTTTATAAGCCGAAATCAACCGTTCTTCCAGACGAAGTTGAAGCCGAAACCGGCTTAAACTCCATTCAAATGGAGAGTGTGGAGAGTTGTAGTAGTTTTTACTTCACGCTCCCTTATCTCATGTTACTAAAGATAGCGCACAGTTGTTAGTATGTGCAGACGGCTATATCTTTCAGGTACATATGAATAGGTAAAAGTTTATAGAGCACGTCTTCGTTTTTTATTTTTTGCTTTCATGTTTTGGTACATGACGTCTGAATGAGCCCCTTTTAAAAGGTACGACATGCCCCATCGTAGGAAAATTGCATGAGATGATGGGGGAAGTTATATTGATCCTTTGCATGCAGTAAATCGCATGGCGAGCGAGCTGAATGCGTTGCAACATGTAAATAAGAGACTCCCGTCTTTGCTGTTCCGTTATCTGCCGCGATCACATGACAAGCTTCTGCGCTTTCTAATTAGTGTGTTTATTTTACAACTGCTGCCACCTTGGTTTCGGCTGCTTATGTAGGAATTGTGGATGTTCACAGGTGCTGTAAAGGTTGACTTATTGTCTGGACAACAGAAAGTCACGGCAAGAATGTCAGTCAATCATTGACAGAATAGCAGTCATTGGCATGATTGTTGATACATTGAAGCCCTGATACAACATGCCCCACGCACAGATGATACAACATGCGCCGCCCGACATCCTGGAAGAAAGTTTAGGCCGCCCCGAAATCATTGGCAAGGAGACGCCAAATGTTTGCCGGGCATATGCAGCAAAGGCATTTCTCACCACTCAGAAGAGGATTCAAATAAGTCTGATTATTCGGTAGGACCTTAAGAATACATTGCCACCGATCGCTGCAATTGTCAGCAATGTGAAAAACAAAGATTGTCGTCCTCAATCCAAGACACGAACACATGTGCAGCTGGCACGATACTGAAAGATACATGACGCGGCTGTGCTTCAAACAAGTGACTCAAGTTCGGCATCTGTCGCACGTAGTCGTAGTAAAACACCCTCAGATATTACTTGGACATGATACAACTCATACACCTGCCCACCCCCCTACAGATGGTCCGAGCCGCGCTCGCGGTCAGCCGCATTCAAACGTGCCATCATTCTGCTGCTTACGCTCATCTGGCACATTTGCCATGGACCCAATTCAAATTATGATACCCGCCTGTGCACATCGCGGAAACCGGCCAGAAGCTCCACATGCATCGGAAAATTGGGTATAAGTATGACAAATACGTAAACTGGACTATTTTCCAAAAAGGCATTTGGAATGCCGTGCATGAGATCAAACATTACCTTTAGCCAGCGGGGACAAAAAAGTTAAGGAAACCGTTAATTTTATCGAAAAAGGGGAGCAAATCTGCCCGTTATTCTCTTTACACCGGAGCCCTAGTGTTGAAAACCTGTAGTGGTGACAACTGGTACGGTTTTCAAATAGAGACGACTGAAATACGCGGTAAATTCGCAGGAATAGGATCGGACGCCTTTGTTTAGAATAGTGCAATGCACTCACTTCCCCTACCTCTTAACAAGCATGTGAATAACCGCGAACTAAAAATCGATGTAGACACCTTAAGGTCAGTAGGTTGAAACCGCGTCATGTTATTGTACGTCGTGCAATAACTATTATGCGCATGCAGCGCGCAATTTTCCAGTGAAAATACTGTTGTTCCCTGTGGCAAAATTCTGCACACGCACCTGCGATCACCTCAACCGACTTAAGCCAAATAGGACCACCGTCGTTTATAATCACCGCAGGCCCCATCGACGCCGCGTCGTGTTCCCGGTCCCGGTCCCCGCCTTTTACCGATCCTCAGCGTTCACATCGATTTTTGCAGGTTCCGACCACCACGCGAAGTGGGCCGCGATGTTTCCTCGGTGCAAAAATAAGTAGCCGTTACCATCAGCCGGTTATCGCAAATTTCCTGATGCACCTGAAATAATCCCCGCACTTGATCGCTCGGGAATCGCTTAAATCCCCGTTTCACTTGACCACCACGCCAGTACCACCGACCAACAAGGCCGTGCCGTGCAGTCGCGTCCCCGCCCTGCCGCATCGCGTCCGATGAAGGAGGTCCCTGGACAGCGTATGTTCCCCGCCCACCGCACGACGCGACCGGGAAACCCGGCCCCTTCGCTGGCGCTGCGCAGTCATCAGCGTTGAGTCCGCCCCCTGGCCGGCCTCTACCGGATTTTAGGCGGTGCCGAAGGACGAAGTGGGTGGGACAGGGGACCGCGCCTATCCACTTTCACCGTGCTCGAGGCTCGCTCACCAATCACAAACAAGGGGACTGAGCTTGCTGGCACATGTAAGCATGCGCAGAAAGTAGTGCCAACTATTTCCTAAGCAGCTGGAAAAATATTACAGTTTGAGGTATTTTGAAACAACAAAAGGGAAGGCAAACAAAACTTCAATGCTTTTAACTGCATAGAAATGTCAGCAAATCCACATGTAAGAATTGTCCAGTTCGTTGACGCCCGCCCTTCCTCCAAACTGGGATGTGCTTACGGCGTGGTGAGATGTGTGCGTAGTTCCGGCCGTTTCGGCGTGGGGCTGTAGGGTCTCGCTGGGTGGTCGTGCCGGCAATTGGGGAGGGAAGTGGGATCTGCGGCCGTCTTAACTCAAACGTAAGTGTGTTCATTTACAATCTGAATTATGCTACGGTTTGGGTGGCAGGCTGGTAGGTATGCACCTATTGAGCGTCGAGAACGTCTCATGCCTGGTTTGTTATGCCGTTCATTCTTGGCCCCGAATGGAAACCTGTACTCTTAGCTTTAAGATGATAATTTTGGAAATCATATTCTTCGTGCGGGGCTTTAAGGTGGTCAGCTATGGAGCTCTCACACATTTTCTAAACTGTATGTCAGTTTTATATCCCATACCAAGTCAACAAGTCACATTGCATATTTTTTGTTAAAGTGAGCCAGTAACTGGTTAGCAGGGCTGATAGTAGAGGTCAACCAGGTTGTGGACTGCTGTGATGGTGGAATATAATTTGTCCACTTTTGCCTGATTTGGTGCTGTCGGCATGAACATAAGCACATGCTTCTGATGCAATCATTTGCTCTGGGTGCAGAAGCCAAAGGGGCCAGGACCTCCCAGCTTTATGAAAATTTGCTAGTGACTTTATCAGTAATGATGGAAAAATAGAAAGAAGTTGTTCTATGTCCCAACTTTGGAAAATTATCTCAACTTACGGTTGGGCTCTGTCCCGTCATCTTTGACCCTTATGATTTAGAAATGACAGGTCGTGAGCACAGATCCACCATTTTTTTGGTAATGGATGAATCACATAGATGATAGTTAGATATTTCTCCTTAGATTTAGTTTCCTTTCATTTAGATAGATATAAGGTCAATGCCATTCAATAAGGCTTGTTTAGTCCTGGCACGCTATCCTGCCTTTCCAATTTGGCCTCCTCTTGGCTTGGGTGTAACCAGCAGTAATGTGGTACCTTGGCAGTATGTAAATTTTGGGCAGGTTTGACTATTCATGTGTGAGGCACAGGTCTTGATTCCCTGTGGTACCCACCCAACAACATTTTGCATGGCCCTTTTGGATGAATTGAGATATCCTGATAACCAACAGGGCCTGATGTCAGAGATCTAGGATCTCTGACAGTTAAGGGTGTAGAAATGCAAAATATGTTAAGGGATGAGCAGGGTGAAATCGCTACACCTTTTCTCAAGTTATGAGGGTAGTTTTAGTTAAGAGGCTTCTCCTGTGATATAATCCCCCCCCCCTTTCTTCTCAAAGTTGGAGGACTGGAGCATATTCAAATGGAAATTGCCTACATCACCATAATTGTGCATCACCTATGCAATGCCTGAGGGGTTCAAAAACAGGTTTTGTGCAAAGATTGTATGCAATGTATGCATTTATTTCAGTTGGAAGCAAGGTATGGTGCTTGTCCAGCTATGACATTTCAGAAAATTCCCACTTGCATAATTATTAGGATTAGGATGTACATCATTTTGAACATGACAGGTCAGTTATGGAAGGCCCACAAGCTGCCCCACCTCAGGTTGTAGGGCTATGACCATTATTTTTATGTTGCTTTGGTGTGTACCTATTCCTATTTCCCAGTAAGCTTGTGCAAGCCTTGCCAACCATGATAGTGCTATATAGCCATTATAGTTTGCATGCTCTTAGGCCCAAATCATTATTGTGCAAACCATTGATGCCAAATCCAGGTTAAATTGCAATAATAAGGACATCATGTGATGTGATCAATTTGCAGGTATGTCTGACTGACATTGGGCTTGTTATTTCAGTTGTGAGGGGGCTGGATTTCATATCAAAATGCCAAGTACCTCCCAAACCAGTCCTCAACAGCAACAGCAGCAGCAACAGCAGCAGCAACAACAGCAGCAACAGCAACAGCAGCAACAACAGCAACAGCAACAACAGCAACAGCAAGCACAGCAGCAACAACAACAGCAGATCATTGCATCATCTGGAGTCCCTATCACATTTGATGGACAGGAGGCCACATTCATTCCAGCAGGGGCTCATGGAAATCTGGTAAGGCAACAATGTTGAGGTGTCAGTCGGGCTACTCCATTATCAAGCTAGCCACACAATTCAATGAATTGATTGCTCACATTACCATTACCATTACCTTTGTTAAATGTGACCAGGTCTGTTGATTTCACTTTGTCTTTTGTTCTATATTTGCACAAGTGTCATAGTTGCAATGTGAATATTATTATCATTATCTGCAGAACATGCAACATGTTGCCCATTTGTTGTGTTTGACCTTTGTGGAGAATTAAGCCAGTTGCCACCCACTTTATAAGACTGTCTCCTGCTACAATATTTTGATCCTTGGTCACCAGGTCTCTGGAGCCCAGTTTTTGTCTGGAGCTCAGCTGGTGAGGCCACAGAGCCTGATAGGCTCCAATGTGGTGCAGAATGTCGGAGGTCAAGCCATCTCTCTTAGTCCAGGTATGGATACAGGGTAACTGACATCATCTGGACCAACTGTTGATGAACCCACGATTGTTTCATCACAACTGTTGTGCATTCCATTGTATTGCATCCGTGAGAATAACTGAACTTGAAATACCAGATTTGTAATGTTCAGCCATGATTCATATCTCATCTGTGAAGTACAATGGGTATGGGTCCTGTCCCAGGAGTTGGGGAAGTGGGATTTTATATCTATTGTGTATTGATATCATATATACTGTACCTATCATATTTATTGTATCATTCATTGTACCTATATCATTCATGTTGTACCTACCATATCTATCGACAAAATCCGTGTTGTCAGAATTGAAGGCCTGTTTTCCCCTAGCATATTCACCCATGAGATCATCCATCCAAACTGTTAAGTTTTACTTAGAATTGATTGCTTCACGTAATGTTTTGCTGTTGCAGTGCCTGGAGGCCCATGCACCCAAACAGTTAATGAGATTATGTTTGTCAGTTCTCGAGCTGGCTAGTTGATGATCTTTGAATTCCCACAGCTATCAACGATCGACAAACCCCCACCCTGTGTGGCGCAGGTCGCCAGCTGCAGGTGCAGACTCCGAATGGGATCCAGCTGGTGCAGTTGCCAGTGCAGCAGAGCATGCAGACTATCTCAGTGCAGATCCCCATGTCAGCAGCCAATGGGCAGACAGTGCTGCAGACAGTGCAGCTGCCAGTGGCGTCCGCGGGTGGCCAGCAGATCCAGCTGATGCCGCAGATCCAGGTGAGCATGGCTCGGTGCATAAAAGGAAGCAGCCAGAAGGCTCAGATTGTATGCATGTTCAGAATTTAGGGGTCACGGACTACAGTGTGATGCAATCATCCTACAATTTTGGCTCTGCAGTGACAGTTTTGATCTGTACATGATATTCATGCACCACATCTGCATCTGCTGCGAATTTGACATTTTAGGAGGCTGGCGTGATCTCAATTTAAATGTATTGTTATCTACACATCAGACAGGTAAATGGTCTGACATGTTATGTCTGACATATCATTGAAGCTGGCATGTCACATACTCTGAAATAAGCACGTCATGTGAGCAACGTCAAGAGGCCATTTCCTGTCCTCGCCGGTGACGCGGCCGCCTCCCCCCTCCGCAGATCCCGCAGTACGCGCAGATGCTGACGCCGACGGGCCAGATCCAGCAGGTGCAGGTGGTGCCGGCCCACCACCTGGCCTCGCTGCAGGCGGCAGTAGCCGCCACCCCGGCCGCCGCCAGCAGCCAGGTTGGTCGCCTCCCGTCGCGGGGCTCGAGCGCCGACTGGCAGTCAGCCGACGGGGGCATGGGAATTCTCAGTAGCTGTTTGATTGAGGGACAGGTGCTGCGTGTCTGAGTGTTTGTGCTGGTGTTGGGAGTGCTCCGATGAAACCCCGCATGTCCTGGGTCAGCTGTGAACCACGTGCAGGCACACCTGGAAACTATAAATTCCATGAACAGTATGGTGATTTTGGTGAGATCTATTGTATTATGCCTGCTGTGTGTCACAGCAGAGCTATACTTGACAAGGCATATGTGAGAACAATTGGGATGGCCTCCTCCCAGCATGCCATATGACCTGACCTGACCCGACCTGCCCTTGCCGTGCCGCAGCCGACCAGCCTGTCCACCACCACGTCCACGACGAGCGTGATGGGCACGGCCCAGTCGTCGGCGGCCGAGGAGGGCAAGGAGGCCGGCGCCGAGGCGGCCGGCCAGGGCCTGGCGCTGCAGCTGGCGCAGGCCGGCCTCATCGGCGGCCAGCAGACCATCACCGTACAGGGTCAGTTCGCCCGCACGCCGGCCGGCGGCCGCTGGCCAGGGACAGGTCATGGGATGCATGTGTCACAGTCGGTGTGTAAGGGTGTAATGGTTTGCTAGGTCACCCCATGTCTGGAGATCATGCCGCGTAAGATTATTTAGCGCCATTCACTGAGAGACCTGTGAATGGCCAGAGAGATACGTGGAAAATCGGCCCATCCCATGTGTGGGAAGAACATAGTGTGAACGTTTACCTCATGCAATAGTGGCCTGTGTTGTGTAAGCTCGATCTAGCACACGCATTTGGCCGCGCTATTCTGCCCAGGACCTTTTCCCGGCAAGTATGGGGGTACTTACGTTTGGTGCAGTTCTACAATACCTCCTCGCCAGGGGTCAGGTCGACCTTCGCTGACCAGTTGCCAGCTGACCTTTATCTATCACGGCTGCCAGACAATGCTCCCGACCCTGGGCTCGTACCCGGGCCGGCTGGGCTCCGAGCTGGCATCCCTCCCCTAGACCAAGGAGGCGCCCGTATTAGTGGGCATCATCCTCGTGGCGCAGCCGCGGCACTTACCACCGTGGCAGCCAAGGGAGTGAGCCTTTGTTGTCATGTCCCCTCCCATTTCCCCTTCCCCTGTTGGAGGTGGTGGGTACCCCAGGGACCAGAGGCCCCAGTACTTATTGGCATATGCAAATGCATGTTCGGGCTCTAAAACGTCATAAATGTGCTCCCAAGGCGTCGATATAGAAACTCGAGCCTATAAGGCTCTTCGAATGTAAACGCGAGGCGCTCGAGCGACGAAGAGAGGCTGGATGGGCCTCTATGATCCGATTTGGTCCCCCCCCCCCCCCCCTGGGGGAAATCCTGGCCACACCACCGCACCGTGATCATGATAGACTGGTCGAAGCACGGAATAGGAACAATGGGAAAGTCCAACAAATATGATGTTCAGCTTTGCTATTGTGAAAATAAGTAAACCTAGCTGTAGGTCGATACGTGCGTTATGGACATACGGATGATCAGGTCACATGTCGCCGTGGAGGTTTTTGCTTGATGCAGTAAACTGACTTTTGGGACAACTGTGGCAATATGCACGCGGCATGCGATTGTCCCAGCTGACGCAACTGTGGCTGAAGCAAGCAATTGGTCAATTCCGAATTAACGGCTGTTTAAGCAAGAGACCAACTTGGAGCAAACCAGGCCACCTGTAAGTGTGTCATTAGTCAACTGCACTCCCCACCGAGCTCCCCTTTCATGCTGGCCGCCTGCCAAGGTTGCCTCGTGAAAAATCGTTGTAAACAGAGACAGAAAGAACCGTCAAGCAGGAGTCGCCCTTGCAGCTGTTGCCATGACAACCGGTGGCGTCCTTATCGAACCAGCAGCTCTCGCTGCATCGGCAGTGTTGTCGCGTGGTCGTGTGGCAGTGGATTTCAACTTGTGCTGAGAACACAGCCCCGCTACCGACGGATACACACGGCTGCATTGCCCGTGTTGCTGCCGGATGCTCGTGGCCTTCGCAAATCTGGAAAACCTGTTTGGAGCTGGCAGTTGATCTGCTTCCGCACGGGAGTGGTGGGCTTTGGCCTGTTATCCATTCGGGATGGATACCGCGAACGCTATGGGCTCTATCGCCCTCTGGGGATTTTCACCAGCCGTTGACTTTGCTGTTGGAAACTCGGACACAGGCGGCTTCGAATTTTGGAATCGGGAATCCTCGGAGGCGGTCAGCGTTCTCCTCGTCGGTGCGCCGGATTTGTGCAGCGTCGTGCAGAATCTGCCGGAAAGCGTTGCGACGGACGGACAGGCCTGTCAACTTTTACCTGCTGGAGAACAGCGTGGAGGTGTACGCGCGCCAGCTGCTGCTTCTCTGGCTGTTGGCCGAGCCTCCGGACAGCGTGGGCCTGCAGGAGAAGGTGTGGATGTACATGGAGATCGTGGGCAACACCCTGGTGCGACCGAGCACGGCGCAGTACATCGAGACGACGGCAAGCAAGCTGGTGGAGCTGGTGGCGGGCTCGGAGACGGTGTCGCTGCCGCTGGTCGAGCTGTCCGAGCTGCGCTACCGCGAGCGCGACCAGCTGGCGGCCGTGTTCCAGTTCTGGCGCGGCGGCGGCGCCGAGCCGGACGTGGCGCGCATGTGGGACCTGCGCCTGCGCCAGCACCTGGCGCGGCGCTACGACGCGCGCCGCGGCGTCTTCGATTGGGACTACTTCATGCGGCTCAGGGACCGGCTGAGCGCCGAGTTCGTGCAGCCGGACGAGTACAAGCACTGGCGCGAGACGGGCGTGGCGTTCCGGAGGCCAGGCACCGAGCAGACGCGCGCCAACCGCACGCTGGTGACGGTGCGCGCGCTGGGCCGGCCGGGCGAGCGGCAGCTGCGGCGCGGCTACTGGGCCGACCTGGTCACCGGTCCGTTCATCGGGCTCGGCGTGCGCACTGACGACGCGCAGCTGCACCGCAAACAGAACGGCCGCCTGGCCGCCTCGGCCACGGCCGTGTACGCGGCCAACCTGGAGGCGCTGTGTCGCGATGTGGGCGGCCGGCTGGCCGGCGCACGCCACGTGCGCGTACACCTGCTGCCGGCCGACGGTGGCGCGCTGCTGGGCCGACGCGGCCGCTACCGGCGCCGCTTCGACGCGGCGCTGATCTCGAGCGGCATGAGCCAGCTGCTGTCGGCGCCGCTGGCCGGCTGCCTGCGGCCGGGCGCGCTGCTGCTGCTGGAAACGGCCCGCTACCTGGTCAGCGTGTCCGAGGAGCAGCAGCGCCGGCTCATCGACAGGTACCGCGAGATGGCTGACATGGCCGGCTGCCGCCCGGCAGACGCCGGCGACGGCAGTCGGCGGGACGTCGGCCAGGCGACGGCAAAGGATGCGCCGGGCGCGGCTAGGGAGACGGCAGAGGAGGCGCTGGGCGCGGCTGAGGCGACGGCGCCGCGCCAGACGGCCGGCGCTACTGAGCAGGGCTGGCCGCAAGAGAAGCAGCAGGATGGGTCGGAGGACATGCCGGGTGCCGCTGCCGCCGAGAGCGGACGCAAGCCGCTGGCGGGTGAGGCGAGGGGAGACAGCGGCGTTGAAGCGTCTCCTGAGGTGACAGATGAAGGAGAACGAAACGAGAACGCGCCGTCGTTGACAGACGCGGAAGGACAGCTCGCGCCGTCGGCGTGTGAGCCCAGGACCGCTGACCCCGCGCCAGTGGGCAGAGCCGCAGAGAAGAACCGCGGACCGGTTGGAGCCGCGGCTAGCTCCGAGGACCGGGACGGGTGCCGGCCGATTGAGGCTGACGTGCGAGGAGATGATCAGCCCACGGTGACCGCCATCGGTGCTGAGATCGGCGACCGGTCTCTCTGTGACGTGAAGGGTGGAGGGAACGGCGCCACGCCAGTAGAGGCTGGAGCAGACCGTGGAGGTAAGACTGCTGTGCTGTCCGGAGAAGACGGCAGCCCTGCGGCCGTGGCGAACGGGGGAGGAGGAGAACCGAAACATGCGGCCTGTGGCCACAAAGATCAGGGGAAAACTAACGAGTCACACGCCGAACTTGAGATAAAACACAACGTGGCTTTGTCGGACACGAGTGAAGAGCCGAGGACTGCGGCGATGGGATCGGCAGGACCCCGCGAGACGGCGACAGAACACGCTTCAGAGGAGCCGGGCGTGCAGGGCGCCGAAGACCAGACCGGTAGGCCGGACGGGCAGGAGACACCAGTGGCGGGGGAGCCCATGGAGCGGCGCTGGGTGTCTGACAAGCTTACCGGTATTCCGGAGTGGGTCACCTTTATCAGAATGGATGTCGGTAGCCATTGATTTAGTCACTTGTGGCTGCGCTGTTGTATATTTGGTGACTCAGTGGTGTGGCTGCGCCGTCTTAGTTACAGTGATCACTTTCCGTTGTCTGTTCATGGGAAAGCTCGAGTGATACAGTGTCTATGCGTTGGAAAACTTCAGTGATATGGTGTCCTTGCCTACGTTCTTGTGTTCTGTTCTGCGCCTCTTTTTAGGTACGTATTTCGTGCGCGGATCGAAGATATGGTTGTGTTTGTAAGAAAGACGAATAAAAGCCACAGATAAAGCTTTTGCTTTTTGGTGGCAACTGGTCAGCGGATGCGTCGAGTCCCTGAGGAACGTGTTTGAATCCCTGATATACGATTTCGGTTGTGGCTGTCCTGGGGCAGTGCATAGACAGCATGTTTTCCTAGCGAACCCATGCGCTTATGTCTCACAGTTAACCGGCCTATGGTACTGACCTAAAGGAGAGAGTTTGAAGTGTGGCCGACTGTTTGTTGTTCGTATGCGAGATTATACGGTGGGGTGATCTGTGGGGCGCGCTCGTGGACCGTGGGCCTTCGTCGCCAACAACCACTGCCGTCTGTCGCTGGCGGCGGATCTCGCCGCTGCCTGTGCCGCACCCCGTCGCCATGTGCCACCGCCCGGATCACGTGTCCGGCCTGCAGCCGTGCCCCGCCCACCGCCCGCCCTCCAGCGCTGACTGCCGGCCGCTCCGGCAGGTCCGAACGGCACGCAGCAGCAGCTGGCCGTGTGGGCGCCGGGCGTGGGAGCCGCCCAGCCGGCCGCCCGCTCCCAGCCGGCCGCCAACGTGCTGCAGGTGGGCGCGCGCCGCGCGGTCCGCGCCGCTGCGGGCAGGCGGCGGCCGCGGCAGACGCTCGCTGGGCTGGCACCGCCAAGTAACCGGTTTGCTGGATGTGGCTTTGTGGGAGAGCGAGGGAAGGGCGACTGTTACGACATGGCTGCGTCATGGAGCGATGCTTATTTGGATGTGTGGGACAACTCGGCGGATTAATGTCCATTAATCTTATCGGCGTGGTCGCGATAATCAAGGGAGCGTGCACTGCAGGCGATACGATGCCGGCGTATGCGTATGTGACGCACAACCTCGCGGCGTTTGCGCGTGTTCTGGGCGGCCGTTGCCGCGCGCCTGACGCGACCCGCGTGCGACCAGGTGCCGAACCTGAACGGCCTGATGGGCGCCACGCTGGGCAGCCAGGTCAGCATCCAGAACATCCCCGGCCTGGGCCCGGTGCAGGTGATCTCGGCGCAGGGCCTGCAGCAGCTGCTGCAGCAGCCCAGCCAGACGGTGCACACGCTGCCGGGCGGCGCCCAGATCATAGGTCAGCAGGGGTCAGGTCACGGGACGAGCGGGCCGGGGACGGGGAGGGGCGGATGCGTGCTCCGGACGCGGTCGGGCCGAGAGCCTCGTACGTGCCAGCCGTGCTGGCTTCGTCTGGTGACGACGTGGGCGGACGGTGGCGGTTGTGCGACCCTGGGCGTGTTTTGGCGCTGTGCCAGCTGTGTGTCATGTCGATCGCACTTGAGGCGTTTGGGATATTTAGTAGCGTGTCTCTCAAAGGGAAATCGTATCGCACTTGCACTGTTCGTAGACTGCCAGACGAGCCCGATGCGAATTGTTTCGCACTTGCGCCGCGTGCCTAGTGCTCACACACCGGCGTCATATTTTGCGGTGGGGTCGTGTTCCCCCCCCCCCCCCCCCCGTTGACCGCGACTCTTCGTAAAGGCGGAGGTAAATTGCCAGCAGGGCTCCCCCCTCGCTGTGTGCCCTGACACGTCCCCCCCCCCGCGCACGTGTCCGTCATTGCACCCGGCTGACTTTTTCGGCCCCGGCAGCGGGCGCCGCGGCTGCCGGGGCCGCGCCTGTGGTCGCCGCCCCGGAGGCCGAGGCCGGCAACAAGCTGATCCAGATGCAGATGGTGGGCGGACAGCTGGTGGCGCAGGTGCCGCCGGCGTCGCCCGACTGCAGCAGTGGCGAGGAGGGCCCCAAGACGCGGCTGCGGCGCGTCGCCTGCTCGTGTCCCAACTGCCGCGACACCGACGGCAAGTGAGTGCTCGGCGTCGCATGCTGTGCCTTGCTTCCACTGGTTGGCGAACGGTGCAGTTCACAGCCGTACTTGTATTGTATAGTATTGCAGATGTCAATTGAACTTCTACGTGACGGCGTTTCGTCAGTGAATGGGTCTCGTGCAGGATTGGCAGCGCACCTCACCCGACCGGCCCAGTGCTGACCTCAGTCTCTCCTCCCCCTCTCGCCGCCGCCACCGCCACGCAGCAAAGTGATCAACCCGGACAGCGACAAGAAGCGGGTGCACATCTGCCATATTCCCGGCTGCGGCAAGATGTACGGCAAGACATCCCACCTGCGCGCCCACCTGCGCTGGCACAGCGGCGAGCGGCCGTTCGTCTGCAGCTGGGTCTACTGCGGCAAGCGGTTCACGCGCTCAGACGAGCTGCAGGTGCGGCGATGCTGGCGGCGCAGAGGTCGATGGAGGGTGCGACGGGGCGGGAGGCGGGCGGATTGGGTGTGGAGCTGGATAAGGACCTCGAGTTGAGAGGTCGCAAATGGGGGGGGGGGGGGGGGGCTGAAGGGGCTGATAGGAGCTGGGCTGTATGGGCGCTAGCTTATCCGCGGGTTTACGATTTATGTGCGGTAATGCATTGCCTGCGCCACCTGTTCCAAAACTTGAGAAGCTTCCATGTTTGTAGCGCATTTCTTGCCATGCATCGCCGTAGGTGCAATGCCAAATTCCGGAAAAGTTGGGTGACGACCCTCTCTCCTCCTCCCCCCCCCCCCCTCATCTTGTCCAGCTCGCGCCTCATCTTGCGTGCGTGCTGCCTGTGTTTTCCAGTTTTATGCGGTGTTGGTGGTTGCAGGTGTTAAGTTACGTTCGTGTTTCCTGTTGACTTTTGATATGATGCAGGCGTCTGTTATCCCAGTAAGCTGCTTTCGGTGATCGGCTTGGGTCTGTGGTGACCTCGTGCGTTCGCTCCGCTCTGCCCGCAGAGGCACAAGCGAACACACACAGGCGAGAAGCGCTTCCAGTGTCCCGAGTGCTCCAAGCGGTTCATGCGCTCTGACCACCTGAGCAAGCACGCTAAGACGCATCTCAAGCTGAAGGCCGGCGTAAGTGCGCCGGTCTCGCCGCTCATGGCCGGTTTGGCGCAGCTTCAGACCGGCGCTAACCCCCTTGTGACCGTAGTGCAAGCGTTTGGCGCGCCATACGATCCGCGTCTGGCTGTCATGAAAGTTAAACATCCTGTCTAGATAAGGATTTGCTGGTGATACTTGCGCGGTCGCTTCGCCCGGCCAGCTGTGGGAGTGGATCTTTCCGTGGCTGAAAATGCCTCAGTCTCTCCATGTCGTCTTCGTGGTTGAGTGGTGCGGCCTGTCGCGGTAGCTTATGTTTCGCGCGTGTGCCGATAGGAGGCGGGTCAGCCGGGGTCGCCTCGGATCCTGTACACCGAGTCGGTGTTAGAGTGTGAGGACCCGGACAGCCTTGAACAGGTGAGATCCGCAGCCAGTGCCGACGACGATCTGTCACCTGGCTGCGCAACTGCGGAATTTCTCCAGTGTTGGGGATTTCTCCTGACATGTGCGACCCCAGGCTAGCCTGTGCCAGGGTGGAAGCGCAGTATCTGTTCTGCCATATGCTGCGCAGGCTCACGGACTCGTAAGTTTCCATGTGATAACCGGCCTGATCTGCCAAATGAATGAACATCCGATTATCCGAGTCGGAGAGCAGAATACTTGGGCCTGAGTGTTGGACACTACCCCTGCTGTCTGCTCGGCTGGAGTGGGGGGTTGATGGGCGTGGTGCAATGCCGCGTCCGTGGTGCCGACCCGCCGCCCCCTCCCCCCACAGGACATCGACAGCCCGGACCCGATCGGCGACGAGAGGAAGCTGCTCATCACGATGGAGCACCAGGCCGACCAATCGCAGCTCGCCATCGGCGACGGCATGAACTCATTGGACACGGGCGCGATGACGTAGCGCGGCGCGGCGCGGCCGTCGGCGCGCGCGGTTGAGGCCCGACTGACCGCTGGTGCGCGCGGCCGCCTGTGATGATTTTACAAATGGTACGTTTTCGGACGCGATAGATTTCCACGAGATTAGATGCAGGGCTGCAATGGAGAGGTCTGAACGGCCCGTCGCCCCGCGAGCGGTGCGAGTGTGAATCTCACGGGGCGCCCTGTGCCGGTGACTGGACGGCACCGGCGTGCCGGCGGCACCGGTGTGTCGACGGCACCGTTGTGGCGTGCCCACGGGCGTCACGTGAAGCATCCGAGAGCTGCGCCCGCTCACGGTCGCCTAGAATCAACGCTCAGATTGGATTCGTTGGCGCTCTGTATACTTTTATGGGAGAACTCGCTCTTTTTATACATTTTGTACCGTAGGTTTTGACAACTCGCATGCCATCCGGGCGTGGACGTTGTTTCTACGCGTGCTGCATACAAGTACAATGCTGTGGCATGGTAGTATTTATTTTTAGGCATTATTTTGTGTTGAGCCCCACCCGTCTTGCCGCAACGAGTGTGTAACTCCTGGAGTTGACTGCGGCTACTATTCCGCTGCTTTTGTCTGCTGGCTGTGGGGGAGAGCACAATGTACAGTTGGTTTTGTCTTTCAGTAGGATGATACATGTACTGCTGACCATGGATGGCCGGTCATGTACCCTGAGACGTGCGTGGGCGCCCGCCTCTATCACGCATCCCGCTCGGGGAGCTCCGTGGTGGCTGGCGATGTTTTGGAAAACGACAAATTGTTTATTACAAATTGCCACTGAATACAGCTGTGAACAGCTTGTTTGCCGGTTCGGGTCGTGGTTAGCGGGATGTTCGTCTGCGTTTCCGGCGCGCTTTAAGCAAATCTGACAATGCAGGCTCGTTTCATTCTTGCGTTTAACGCAATGCAGTGCCGCGATGCGGCAGTTTCCTTGGTTTGTGCCTTATTGTGTGTGTTGCTCGTGAACGCATGGCTCTACAATACAAACCACGCATGCGGTTAAGTATAGGATGTCTGATAAAAACGGCCGAGGTGGAAATTACGTCTATTTTCCGCGGTAAGAACAAGGCAAGCTATTTCGTGCATGCCAAAAGAAGCCGCACGTTGTGTGGAGCGCGACTAGTGCCGCTCGCCGGTTAAGGAACCATATTCTGCGAATATCGTCGCTGGTGCCGCAGCCATGCATTCAGCGAGTTAACCCGGTGCAGAATCAACCGGTATGGGTAGACCGGCATAGTAGGAAACGGGTATGCATGTCTGATAGGAAACGGATATGTATGCCTGATAGGAAACGGCTATGCATGTTTGAAAGGAAACGGGTATGCATGTTTGAAAGGAAACGGATATGCATGTTTGAAAGGAAACGGGTGTGCATGTCTGATTGATGGAAACAAGTAGCACGTCTTATAGGAAACGGGTATGCAGGTCTGACAGAAAACGGGCATGCATGTGTGACAGGAAACGGGCATTCTCTGACAGGAAACGGGCATTCTCTGACAGGAAACGGGCATTCTCTGACAGGAAGCGGGTATGCATGTCTGACAGGAAACGGGTATGCATGTCTGACAGGAAACGGGTATGCATGTCTGATAGGAAACGGGTACGCACGTCTGATAAGAAACGGGTATAAACGTCTGATAGGAAACGGGTACGCATGTCTGGATTGGAAACGGGTATGCATGCCTGACAGGAAACGGGTATGCATGTCTGACAGGAAACGGGTATGCATGTCTGGCAGGAAACGGGCATGCATGTCTGATAGGAAACGGGTACGCACGTCTGATAGGAAACGGGTATGCACGTCTGATAGGAAACGGGCATGCACGTCTGATAGGAAACGGGCATGCACGTTTGATAGGAAACGGGTACGCATGTCTGGATAGGGAACGGGTACGCACGTCTGATAGGAAACGGGTATGTATGTCTGACGGGAAACGGGTATGCACTGTGCACTCAAGGTCTGTGCGTTCCTGTGTTCCCGTTGCAACTCTCGGAGAGCAGGTTTTTCCCATTCGCGTGGGCACCGAATCGCTTCTAGCCATAGGAACCTTGCACGCTCTCCCGGAACGTTTCTGGTCGCTGACCTTGTTTGACCTCCGGGTTTCGTCAGCCGACGGCCGGCTCGCGTGCCGTGCCTGCCAGGCACGTGCCTCTACGCAAGCCTGCGGCCGCCTGCAGCCTGCACCTGCCCCTGGCGCCGGCCGGCCCTGCCTTTGGCGCCGTTCGCCGCGGTAAATACCAGCACCGCCGCCGCAGCGCGCCCTGACATTTGTGGCCGACCGCGGTCCGTCACGTGCCGTCAGCACGCGGCCGGGCGCCGGCCGCCACCTCGCCGGTCGCCGGCTGCCACTACGTCCTCGGCCGTCGGCGCCGCCGCTGCCCGCATGAAGCACTCGTTGTACGATGTCCAGAAGAAGGCGGAGGAGGGGGAGCAGGTGCCGCCCCCTCTGCAGCCGCCGCCTCCGAGGCCCAGCAAAGCAGTGAGTTTGTGCCTGACCAGGCTGAGCCGGCTGTGGAGTTACGCGAACTCCCGAACCAGGGTTGGTCTGGGTTCGCGATATTGTTGCTGTTTGCTACAAGGGCAGTAGTTTGAAGTTTACACGTTCGCGCCCAAACTGATTGCAATCGATCTGCGTGGTGCCGTATTTGGCCGATCGCCCGTCGCAGTGTTGTGAACGCGCCAATCAGCATCCAAGTGCTTTGAAAACGCACGAGTCAACGTCCAGGTCCTTTGAGAGCGCATAAATCAGCATTCAAACCTTTGAGAATACACGAATCACCATCCAAGCCCTTTGAGAAGGCACGAATCAGCATCCGAGTCCTTTGAGAACATCAGAACCAGCGTTCAAGTCTTTTCAGAGAAGTTGTTGAGCTGTTGTGTTTCTCGCGGATGTTGCGTATGTGTTGACCTTGCCAAAAAATGTGACTGCCTCGGTTCTGAGTTAAGTGGGAGTACTCGACGCCCTCTAATGTTAGTCCTCATCATCATCATCGATGGTCGTGAATGTTCTAGGCGTCCTAGATACGAGCGCTGACCCACAGACCTTTCTCGCTCTGCCGAGCATCACCGCTGACATTCGGCAAAATGGGAAAGTTGATGCCATTGAAAACATACGACTATACCCTCGCGTTCTGAAAGCTTTCCTGAACCACATTGCTCACTGAAGTCGAAATGTACTAGTTTGGAAGCTTGTCCCGGTATTCGCGGCACGTAACATTGTATAAAATACTCCTCCGATCCTAATCAGCGCGTTTCTGAAAACTATCCCGGGACCTTCCGAACACCAAACGTCCGTTCTGACGGGGGCCTCCATGTCGGCAGTGTCTGTGGGCCCTGCTGATGCTCTGCATGGTCCTCATGCTGACGCTGGCGGTTACGCTGGCCATGATCCTCGTCACCAGAGATGGTCCGCTGTCACTCTGGGAGAAGACGGCGGTGAGTGATCGCCAACCTTTCGGGCGGTTAAGACCCCTGATGTATGTCCCGGCATACGGTGCCGCCATGCGACTTTGTCGCTGCTCGCTGCCGCTGCCTGCTGACCGTTAAGGTATTACACCTTTGATGCGCCAGATGTGTCTATGCAGCGTGGTGGCTGTTTGACTTCGTCCATGCATCAATATATTTCATGCTCAAATCTTGAGTGGAATGCAATTTATTGAAACAAATTCACATATGTGCCGCTCGCCAAGGACATAGGTCTTCGAATGCCGTTCGATTCTGGGTGAGATTACGTCAGTGGAGCATTTTACGATAAAACGTTGTCTTGACTGAGCTATAGACGTGAATATTTACGGCAAAGCATAAGAACGGTCACATGGTTATCGGCCAAGCCCTTCGGCTCCGTTTCGCTATTCGTTCTCAGGCGCCCCGATCCGCCCAATCCGCAGGTCAGTAAGTCACGGCTGTGTTTTCATGACATCAGCGTGCCTTCTTTGAAATTCAAACACGTTTCAGAGCAAATCTGAGTCGAAGTCAGCCGCTGAATGGAACGCGAAAACCACCAAGCACTCAGCGACCCACCCTCAAGTGACAGACACCGAGGCAGGCGCGGTGGTACCGACACCTAACGGTCGTAGCACAAAACACGTCGAGAAAGAGGACGCTGCGATCGCCACGACCGAGTCGCCCTTGCGGCCGGTCATTCCGCCGCCATCCGTGAAGACGCCAACCGCGAAGGTTTGGGTCGACGTGAAAGAAGTTATCTATGTTTATCCCCGACGACCGAAGCCCTCCTCGAGTGACAGTCTTAATAATGGCCAAACGAACACCGCTGCTCCCAAGGTGAAGAAGAAGCCAGACACTGTGGATGCGTCTGCAAACCCGAACAAAACGAAGTCAGACGATAAGGAAAAGCACCAGAAAGACGAAAACGACGAACTGTTTGCGCAGTTTTGGCCAATTTTTACCGACATGATGGCGGATGCCGGGAAGGAGGTCGGCTCAGTCCTCCGTCGCTTCTTGCCTGACCTCAACGCCGGCCAGACAAGTCGTCCGTCGCAGCCAAAGGCGTCCGGGACATCCAGCAAGCCAGCAGCGCCGCCTAGCGCGGGGCCTCGCTCGCGCCCGGCTGCGGACGCCGGCACCCCCCGACACCCGCCTCCCGCCCGAGTCTCAGACCCGCACGCCCCAGTCGCCGGTGGAGGGCAGATCGGAGCCACACGCCGAGCCGCGCAGTCGACGCCACAGACGGGTATAACCGGGCGACGACCCACTTGGCGTGCCTTGTCATGATGAACGGTATCGGTGAGCATGGAAGGTGTGCCGTGTAGTCCGTCCTGTGGCTGTCTTGCATGCGCGCCGTCAAAGTCGATGCATATTTGAGCTGATATGCTCAAATATGCATCACGTTTAGGGCTGCTCGTTTCCTGACATGCGAAATCATATGCTCGTAACCACCACTGGGACCAGGAGGGGTTTCCTGACCATGGCATGTTACCGCAATATTGGGCTATTTTCGTGCTGTGACCACATAAAACATCAGGGCTGGTTGGATCTCAGGAATGTTGATACGTGCTTGAATCCTGGTCCGGAATGTCGCTTGCCGTGTCTGTTTTAGGGTGCATACTTGAATCTGGGACTGTTTTGGGTTTGCATTTGGGGACGTGGGCTAGATCGTTTGGTGTATCTGTACCAATGGTATTGCGTTAGGACTTTCAACCGGAAAGCTGGGGTCTAGCTTCTTTAAAGCAAACACGTGGTGAAATGCGATGAAAGCTACATGTAATAATTTTCCGCAATCTAATGACAATTTGCAGTTTGTACTTGTATGGAGCAATACATTCTCATAACGCAGCAGCGACCTCGTGAATCGGTGAGGACTAAAACAGCTGGTAAAAACATGGGTTTTCCTGTCATTTCAAAGGTGCTAGGGATCCATCACGAAGAGGATTGAACGGGGCTCCGTATTCCAAACAGGAAAACGGTAGAACCCTAACAAACCTCCACAAGCAGTTGTATGCGTGAATGTAGAAAATAGATAAGACGGAATATAGGTACGTTCTGTAGACACATCACGATGACGGAACGGACCCAAGCCATCCTGTTCCTGTGCTATCATACGTCACGTCCGTAAATGCAGGTCCCAAAATGTCAGAGAGGAGATGGCACCAGTGCCTCTCGTTGGTGGTGGTACCATCCGCCCCCCCCCCCCCTCAGGCGCAGGTCAGAAAGGGCACGGGCTAATCCTGACCCGCTGGAGCCAGCGTGACCCATGTGACCAGTCAGTGTGACCGATGTGATCAGTCAGTCTGACCCATGTGACCGGTCGGTGTGACCGATGTGACCAGTCAGTCTGACCGATGTCACCAGTCAGTCTGACCGATGTGACCGGTCAGTGTGACCGATGTAACCGGCCAGTGTGACCCATGTGACCAGTCAGTGTGACCGATGTGACCAGTCAGTGTGACCGATGTGACCAGTCAGTCTGACCGATGTGACCAGTCAGTGTGACCAGTCAGTGTGACCGATGTGACCAGTCAGTGTGACCCATGTGACCAGTCAGTGTAACCGAGGTGACCACTTAGTGTGACCGATGTGACCTCGATAACTGACAACATGGCTGCTGGGGTCGGGCAGGTACCGAACTGGATCTACGGTGACGGCCAGGGCACCTTCGTCCAGACATCCAGACGGACCTCGAGAGGCCGGTCTCGCACGTGGACGGTCGAGGTCCGTGCCACGCAGTGCACGCCGCTGGCGGAAGTGGCGAGCGAATTTAGGAATCGCTATTCTGCGCCCGAAGAATATGAGGGATCGTGGATGACGTAGATGAAATCGCTTGCCATGTTTGCAATGCTGTGTCAGTGCAGGGGTGAACGACGCAGTACTTGCATTGAAATCGACATCGCTGTATCTGTATGTCTGTCTGTCGCGGTCTTATAGCCCAGTGCGACCTGACCTGACCTGGCTTGGCCTCTTCAGGACGTGAACCGAAACGGCCAGCAGGGTCGCACCGTTACGGACACGGGCGCCGTTCTGCTGCCGGAGCAGCGCAGCTCCACGCACACTCGTTTGGCGTTTGACGCGGCGGTCGGCGGCTGGCGCCCCGCCGCCTTCACCGAAAGCCCCGGCTGGAGCCCGCGCCTCCCCAGCCCGCGTGGTCTGCCCGCCCGAGGCGTCTTCCCTCGCAGCGCTGGCTTCCCAGGCCCGGGCTTGCCTGGTGGCGCCGGCGGTCTGCCACCAGCCCCGGACGCTTTCAGCGGCTTCGCCATCCCCAGCGGCCCGGACGGCTTCGGTGGCGCCGCCGGTGCCTGGGGGCGGAAGCTGACGCTATCTTCGCAAACACTAGGCGGCGCCTCGAGGAGGTGCGGCGCCAGTTCCGCGGAAACGTGGGCGGCTTCACTGGGTTCCCCCCGCTGGGGGCCGCTGAGAAGAGGAAGGCCGCTGTAGAAGAAGAGTGCGCCTTTTGCCAAACCTGGTGCTGTGCTTGCGGCTTGAACAAATGAGCTGGACGGGAGTGTAAATCATTAATTAACTCGTTCAGACATGCAGTCTTGCGAAATTTGTAATGCTTGCGGCTTGAACAAATAAGCTGGACGGAACTGTAAATCATGAATTAACTCGTTCAGACACGCAGTCTCGCGAAATTGGTAATACTTAAGGCGCGTGGAACGTGAGCTTTGGGGCTCACAGATCTGAAGGCATGGTCAAAGTTGACTGTTATGATCCTTGCATAAACCGTACGTGGGTCTATCTTCGGAACTGCACACACTCGCCAATATGACGCATTCGGGCAGAATGTAAACGTTGACGGATTCTTGAAATAAAGGGCCCTTAAGCAACTCGTCATACCATGGACGAAACGGGATCACGAGAATATCGTGCCACCCACCGCCTTCCTCAGCCTGCGTTCCTCCGCTCACGGCGCACTTAACGATAGCGATTGTGCCAGATCCTGTGCTTAGCCTAACATTTCGCCCGACCAACAACACTCAGGAGAAGACCGCCGCTTGAGGCACCGCCCTCCCTTCCGCCGTCCCTGGGCGCCGCCGGCCGCCGCGCGGCAGACCCTGGCCCACTTTCCGTACCATCGCGGCGTCTTCAACCCGTTTGGGCCGTCCAGCATCCCGCGGAGGAGCGCGCCACCTGTTACGGTAGACAACAAAGCGTGGCGTTCCAACGGTCGGCGCGCGCTCAAAGACGCGGCGGCCGGCGCGCGCTTTGTGCGCGTGGATTTATTGGCGCGACTGAATGGCGCGCGCCCGGCGCGCCGGCCAGCACAATCCGGCCAGGAATCCGCGCGCTGGCCGCCGCGGCGCGCGCAACGGTCGCGCCGCGGCAGCGCGCCGTTTTGAACGGCGCGAGAGGTGCAGGGTCAGAACGAGAATGCACCTGTAGCGGCGGCAACGGCAGCAGATGGCAGAGCGGACGGAACAGGTCTCAAATGGATCACCTGTTCGCTCGCCATGAAGCAGGGACAGGTGGTCCCTATACATGTACTCTGATCGCCGAATTAAAAGGACGAAAGTTGCGTTGCCAAATAGCCAACATTGCTGTTGTTCCTGCAGCCGCCGCGTTGCCTTGTATTGCTCGGCATCATGGTATTATTATTGGAGTGGTCGGATGCCCAACTTGTCCAAGTGCCAACTTATCGAAAATTTAAGACCTCAGTAAGCCCGACCGATCACGCTTTTGGACGCTGCGGTGGCCTGATCATGACAGTGCGCCTGCATGATTTTCTGCAACATCGCGATATTGCCCAAACTTAGCCGTCACTTTGAATTGATAGGTGTGGTAACGAAGTATCTGCAGTGAAAGACCTAAAGGACAATAATCGTGATAGCATTACGATCAAGGAACTTATTACGGATGATAGCTGATTTCACTCAAACGAATACAAGATTTACATGAGGGACCCTATATGAGACTGTCCTCTTGAACTTGACAAGAGTGAGAGCCTGAACTTATCTTGCGTTATGGTAAGTTTGATTTTGAAGGTCACGCTTTGTTTCGTGCTTTTTCAGAACAGCGTACTTAATATGTATGGTACAGGTGCAAAGTTAAAAGTTATAAGTGCCGCTAGGCAGTTTTCAGAGTTGAGAGGTTACTTTGTGGAAACGTCGACATCATCAGTTATATTCAACGTTCAAACGTGAAACTTTGCAACAACGTTCAGGTTGCAAAGTTTGACATAACACCTCAGCTTCACAGTCAGATCTGTTAGGCGCTCTCAGCTTACACTCCTTCACGATAGGATGGCCCAGCATGTATTGCGTCGACGTCGACCAATGTGGTGCATT